ACTCTTGCGGGGCCCAGGCCCCCGGCCCATCTTCCATGGCAATTCGGTGACGGGGGGGGTCCTTCTGCTCCGGGACCCGCTGCCGAAGTGCTCCGAAGACTCGCGGCGGCAGGTCCCGGGGCGGAAGGACCCCCCCACCGCAGTGCTGGGTTTTTGTCTGCCGCCAAAGACCCCAGGCCCCCTGAATCCTCTGGGCAGCCCTGACTGATAGCTCATGGAGCGGACAGGTGCTGCCTCTGAGGTTGGGAATTCCCAGCCTGGACCACCTGCCCAGCGCTCCCTGTGTAGCAGCCCAGAGAACCCAGTGTAGGGTGTAGAGATCCCAGACATGGAGATGTGTAACATGTATTTGCTGTTACTTTTTTAACAAAGGATTTCCTGATGCGCTATAAAGGACGCTTTGACCACTGGATCGGCCTCCGGAGGGAACCGGACCAGCCCTGGATGTGGACCAATGGCACCGAATTCAACAACTGGTGGGTCCCTTTTAGTTCTGTTAACTCAGTAAATGTTGCAGGTCACATTTAAACAGGACACTGGCCTTGTGGTTAAGGCCCGGGGCTGACTTGGGAAATGGGGGTTCAGTGCCTGGCTCTGCCATAGATTTGCCGTGTGACCTGGGGTGAATTGTGTGGGGCTGGATTTTCACTGCTCGGTGAAGCTGCTCTAACAGTTGTGTCGGGTTTTGATTATTATTTGTTGCTGTTGCAGGTTTCCAATAGTGGAAGGAGGCCTATGTGCTTTTGCGAACAATTCCAATATTGCCAGTTCAGGCTGCTCCAGGGACGCACACTGGATCTGCAACAAACCAGCGGAGAAACCAGAAGGCCGAGCAGAGCGACTGTAACCTGGATGAGTCGGGCCTTGTCCTTTCCATGGGGCTGTCCCAAGCTGCCTCAGCACGTGGGGAACTGGGTGAGGCTGGTGAAGGGGAACAGCCCCAGCAGCAAGGAAGAGACACGCTCGCTGAAGGACATCTGATAGCTCCTCCCCTTGGAGCCTCTGGCACCCATTGGCCCATCTGGGGACCGGGGTGAGGGTGCGGATTAGCCAGCAGCCCCCAGCTCACTCTGTGGCACAGAGAAGGGATCTTTTGACTTGGCTGCTCCCCTTCTGGTTTCCAAACCTGCAGTGTCCCTCCTGTCAGAGGCCCAGGGCAGGAGCCTGGCCCGGACTGTAGCTAGAGGCCAATGTATGGGCTGGGCCATCGGGAGGTGCTGTGAACCCTGCAGCCATGGGGCGAAGGGGCCGGTGTGAACCCTGCAGCCTGGGGGAAGGACGCATGAACTCTGCTGTACAGCGAGAAGGGTTGCTGTGCAGGCCCTGCTGAGCGCTGTGGGAGCGAGAAGAGATGCTGTGTACAGGAGGGGGTTGCTGGGACGTGCTAGGATAGAGAGGGTGGGTGGAGAATTATTTGTATAATAATACACCAGCTCCAACAAGGGAAACTTTTATTTTGTAAACTTAAGTCCTCATGTGACTGGCTCCTCCCAACTGAGCAGGTAAACAGGAAGCAGCTGCATCCTCCCACCAGGGCTGTGAGCTCCCCGCTCCACAGGGACTAATGCACTGAGGACAATGTGACTGTGTCTCTTTTCTTATCATCCTCCTCATCTTCCCCTCTGCCTGCTGGGGAGGGGCTCCCCCAGACTGAGGGAAAACTCTGCCCACCGGGGGGGTGATGCCCTCTAGGGGAAGGGCACTGCCCTCACTGGACATTTCTCTGAGCTCTCCCTATAAAGGGCCGGGCTTTGCATTGGTGTCTCTGCCCTGGGGAAGAACGGGTCTGTCACGAGCCCACTGGAGTGTGGAGGAGAGATCACAGAGCCGGGCTGTTCTCTCTCTGGCCAGGCGCAATCCCCAGGAACAATTCCTGATGAGACAAACTGCGAACAGTGACACACATGCACCCTAATCCTTGTGCTAAGCATCAGGAAGATACAAATAATCTTTTTATCACATCAGCACTTGGAGGCCCCAGCTGAGATCAGGGCCCCGTTGTGCCGCGCACTGCACAGACACACAGCGAGAGACAGTCCCTGCCCCAGCTGAGATCAGGGCCCCGTTGTGCCAGGCGCTGCCCAGACACACAGGGAGAGACAGTCCCTGCCCCAGCTGAGATCAGGGCCCCGTTGTGCTGAACACTGCACAGACACACAGGGAGAGACAGTCCCTGCCTCAGCTGAGATCAGGCCCCGTTGTGCCGGGCGCTGCACAGACACACAGCGAGAGACAGTCCCTGCCCCAAGCAGTTCACAGACAAAGGCTGGGAGAGGAAACAAGCACAGAGAGTGTAAGTGACTTGTGGAAAGTCACAGAACAGGTCAGAGACAGGAATAAACCCAGGTGTCCTGAATCCCAAGCCAGGGTTCTAGCCGCTCTGTGGCCCATCAAGAATAAACACACTCAGCTTTTGCACGGTTCAACAGAAATCTTTACTGTCCGTGCGATAGTGATAATCCCTCGCTCTGATCTAGAGCTTTCCAGCAGTAGATCTCAAAGCACTTCACAAAGGAAGGTCAGTCTCCTTATCCCCATTTCTCAACTGGGGAAACTGAGGCACAAAGGGTGACTACTCTGCAGTTAGATGCCTGCGGCTGGCCCATGCCAGCTGACGTGGCCTCAGATGAAGGGGCTGTTTAACTGCAGTGCAGTGACTGGGGCTCTGGCTGGAGCCCGAACTCCGGGGCCCCCAGGAGGGGGAAAGGTCCTGGAGCCCAGGCTCCAGCCCGAGCCAGAATGTCCACCTGGCAATTAAACAGCCCCATAGCCTGAGCCCCGTGCGCCAGAGCCAACAGACCCACGTGTCTATTGTCGTGTAGACCAGGGTTTCAAACTGGGGGTCGGGACCCCAAAGTGGGTCACACCAGTGTTCCTTCTAATGTGTTACATCCATGTGCGGAATGAATTTTGTTATGTGACATGTGACACAGCAGTAGGTGCTCATACCAAAATTCATGGGGTGGGGCCGAGGGGTTTGCGAGAGGGCCCAGGGCTGGGGCAGAAGATTGGGGTGAGGGCTCTGGCGTGGGGCCAGGGATGAGGGTTTTGGGGTGCAGGCTGCCCTGAGGTGCAGTGGAGAGAGAGGACTCCCCCCAGCCCTCTCAGAACAGCAGCTTGGGGCCAGGGGGAGAGGCGCTTCTCCCCACCCGCGGCAGCTCAGGCTGGGCTGGACCCCTCCCCCGGCCGTGGCAAGTAGGGGGAAGGTCTGCGCTGCGGGAGAGGCATCTCTGCCCGCTGCAGCCCTGAGCCCCTGCGTGGGGCTTAATAGGTAGCTGCGCAGCTGAGAGGGATCTTAGGTCGCGACTCCATTTTAATGGGGTCGCCAGGGCTGGTGTTACACTTGCTGGGGCCCAGGGCTGAAGCCGAAGCCTGAGCCCCACTACCTGGGGCTGGAGCCGGAGGATTTCAGCCCTGGGAGGCAAGGCTCAGGTTCCAGTTCCCCGTCCCCAGGGCTGGAGCCCCGGAGGTTTCGCTCCCCGGCCCGGGACAGCAGGATGGCTCAGTCTTGGGGTCATGTAGTAATTTTTGTTGTCCGAAGGGGGTCACGGTGCAATGACGTTGGAGAACCCCTGGTGCAGACAAACCCGAAGAGATGAAGTGTCTTACGCGGAGTCACCCAGCAGGCCCAGGGCATCCTGCACATCAGCCAAGGCCGGGGGATAGAGAGGGTGCAGCAAACGCCAGGGTGGCCCTTCTGTAGCAGAGCCAGGAACAGAACCCAGCCTTCCATGTGCCAGTCCAGTGTGCTATCCACTAGGCCACACTGCCTCCCTCCCCTGACATTGGTGTCAGCAGGGTGCATTCGTCCAGCCCCAGTGACCAAACCCAAAATGAGTCTGCGCTCGGCAGCCCTGTGTCTCCCGCAGACCGGCCCAGTTCTGTTCTCTGGCAGTCACAAGCCCAGCTGTCTCGGGGGTTGGCTCCTAAAGACACTGGGGTCTGTTTGGCTTGGCCAGTCAACCCACCCTCCAGCTTTCCCAGTCCATCTCCTCCTGGGCTGCCGGGCCCCTGAGTACCAGGGCGTTCGTCAGCCCCCAGCCCTCCCCGTGGTGCTCCCTGCACTGCCACCGAGCACCCCAGCCCGGCTCCTCTGACAGAGACAGTGACCCCAGAGATCACCAAGCAACATGCATGGAGAGGCTCGTTTGGCATCAGGGCACTGATCCTTAACGACGCTCTGAGGAGGTAGCAAGTGGACAGCACGTCAGCAGGGTAAAGCTCTGATGCCGGACTAGGGAAGCTGAGACCCCATCGTTAGTGACAGGAGTTAACGATCCGTTAGGGCAGGAGGGGCAGAAGTGCGTCAGGTCACAGGCTGGACGGGAGCAATGGCCGGGCTGGGGAAGAGAGCTCAGAGTGGGACCTGGCAGAGAGGTGCAAAGAAATGAATCAGGAGTGAAATACAGGTGAAAACCCAGATCCCCACCTGGTGTGAATCCACCATAGCACCACTGGAGTCAATGGGGCCCGATCCCAGCTCGGGTCAGTCAGTGCTGCGCCATTGGAGTCCCTGGATGGAGGATGATTTACACCAGCTGAGAATCTGGCCGATTCCTCCCTCCCAGCTCCGGGGCGGAGAGGGTTAAACTGCTCCAGGGCTGTGCAGAGCATTGTACCTACGGCCCAAGCCGGCCCCCGCAGTGCTTCCAACTCCTTCTGGGACATGTAACACCAGAGCTGGGAATTGTTCTTCTCTATGGCATTAACCCTTTAAACTCTTTCGCCTGAGGTAGGACTGGGAGCCAGGACTCCTGGGATTTAGTCCCAGCCCGGGGATAGGGGGAGGGGATGGGGGGTTAGAGGGAGGGGGGCTGGGAGTCAGACCCCCTGGGTTCCATTTCCCACTTTGCCACAAATTTGCTGTGATCTTGGGCAGGTCAGTGTCTGTGCCTCGGTTTCCCCATGTGTGACATGGGGCCAACAGTGCCACACTCTGAGATCTCCTCCGTACCCTGTTCAGAGCGTCTCTCTGGCAAATCCACGGAAATCCAGAGCTGCAGGTGTCAGAACGAATCCAATTCCCCTTTACCACCCTACAGCTGTTCTCAGCCGGGCTTGACGCTGAGAACCTGCAGGACAAAGGAGAGGGCCCCTGTCAGTGCGTGTGGGTCCATCACATGCAGTCAGCAACGGCTCTTCCCTGTTCCAACAGGATCTGCAGCCTTCGTCTCCTCCAGCTCTGCCCTGGGGCTGCCCCCTCTCCCCACTGTCAGGGCCCTGGCCAGGGTCTCTAACGGCCTCTCCCTGCCCAGAGCCCAGGGATCTGCTCCAGCCTCATCCTCCCTGCTGGGCTAGGCCCTGTCCAACTCCCTCCCCTGCTCCGCGTCTCCTCCCCACCGGGCTGAGCCGACGCTGCCCCGTCCTGGTCCCCTCCTGCCTCTCTGGCTGCTCTGTGTCTCCCCCTCCCCCCGCCCCATTGTCTGGCTCTGGCCTGGCCCTTTGCTCTTCTCACTCCACATCCCGACTCTGGGCCACCTTCCCCGCCCCCAGGGCTCCAGCCACCATCTCTGTGCTGGGGGATGTGCAAATCTCTCCCTGCCCCATGGCCCTGTCTGCTCCCACCCAGCCCCCCTCTCACCCGGGCTCCCCAGCCCTCTCCTGGGGTCTCAGCGTTGTCTGACACTGAACACGGCTCCCCCTGAGCTCCCGACCTTCCCCCCAAACCTCCCCCATCCCTGGCCTTGGCCCCTTCTGCCCACGGAGGGAAGGGAAAGTGTTTGACTCAAGGAATCACTCACAGGCTCTGATCCAGCCGGGAGCCATCCAGCCAGGTCCAGGCCTTCTCTGGAGAGGAGATGGACAGTCCAATCCAGAACAGATGTGAACCTTGTGTCAGGTCCTTTAGGAACTCCTGCAGTGAGTGTGTGACAGGCAGCTGGTGACTAGATGTGCTGTCGGGCTCTTTTCTTGTTTATCCAGGTTGTTAACAACTTCAGGACCTAACATCTGTCTGTCCATCTATCCCCATACACACGCATTATCCATCCCCATACATCTGTCCCCATACACACCCATCTATCTATCCAACTATCCCCCATACACACCCATCTATCTATCCAACAATCCTCCACATACACCCCTCTATCCATCCATCCATCCCTATCCAGCCTCCGTCTCTCTGTAGCCACCGGTCCTCACACACACCCGGCGCCTCTCTCCACCTGAGCTGTGTCGGGCACACCCCAGAAGGGGGAGGGTGCTGGTGGCTTTAAAACACCTTTGTTTGCCCCTGATCCTGGGACTAGTGATTTAGGCTGGGATTGTCAAATCTGCCTAGGGGGGTTGGACACACCATTACTAACAATTAATTAGAACAGGGTGTCCAAATCCCCTAGGCAGCTTTGAAAATCCCAGCCCTACCTTGTAGCCTATGCGCCCTTGGACTGTACCCAGGGCCCAGCCCTGCAGGGGCAGCTCCAGCAGGAAGGTATCATCCCCTTTACCAGCTCCTGGGGGTCCC